AGAGGAGCCGTGGGGGGGCTCGGCCTGGAGCCCAGTGGGGAGAGCGGAGCCGTGGGGGGGCTCGGCCTGGAGCCCAGTGGGGAGAGCGGAACTGGGGGGGGGGAGCCACCAGGGGGTTCGGCCCAGTGCCCCATGAGGAGAGCGGAGCCGTAGGGGGGCTCAGCCTGGAGCCCAGTGGGGAGAGAGGAGCTGTGGGGGGGCTCCCTGCCCCAGGGCCGAGGGGGGAGCTGCCAGGAAGCCGGGCGCTTGCTGCCTCCGTCAGTAGTCCCCTTCGGTGTGCAGACCTCACGGGACGCCCATGGGTGAACTGTAGAGCCGATATCTGCTGCAGGGGATCCCTGTGAACGCCAGTGCCCCCTGTTGTCCGTCCCCCCCCCCATGCCAGCTGGCACCAAGGGCTCCTGGCTTACAGCATGGGCCCCACTCCGGGGAGCCCCTCTCTCTTGAGACCCGACAGGGGCCAGGTTGTGGGCTGCTCCGGGACTCCTGCCCCCCCGTTCCAAGCCAGCCCCCCACCCTGCACCGTCTCTCCCAGATTGTGCCCAGCCCGGACGTGCAGCCGCGCCCAGGCGGGGTTTAGCGTCCCCCTGGCTCAGGACGTCCTTAGGGTGGCGCAGAGCCCGGCGGGTTCACGTCGATCTGGGCTCCGCCTCTGTGCACGCCCCCCGAGCCGGGCCGTCCCCTCCTGACTCCGCTCCCCCGCAGGTGTCGCGCATCGACGGCACGGTGGACAACCCGCCTTGCTTGAAGCTGACGCACCGGACCTTCGGCTCGCAGAACGCGGTGAGCGAGTTGCTCTTCCTCCGGCTCAGCATGCCCGTGGAGTTCCACGAGAAGTTCAAGTGCACGGCGGGGGCCACGCCCCTCACCCGCGCCCTCACCATCCCCGAGGAGGACGTCAAGGACGTGGACCTCGACTCCGAGTTCGAGGTGCTCCGGAAGTCGGCCGGGCGTAAGGAGGCCGAGGAGGCCGAGAAGGAGAAGCAGGGGGGGCCCCTGGCCTCCCCCAAGGAGCCCCCCAGGGCGGAGAACGAGAAGGACGCGGCATCGGAGAAGAGCAAAATCAAGAGGGGGTGAGAGCCTCTAGGAGATGGGGGTGGGGGGGCGCGGGGAATGGGATATGGGGCCTTTCCCCTCCGGGGGCACTGGCCCCGATCCAGCCCCAGGACAGGGATCGGGGGGCAGGGAACGGGGCACGGGGCCTTTCCCCTCCGGGGGCACTGGCCCCGATCCAGCCCCAGGACAGGGATCAGGGGGGCAGGGAATGGGGCACGGGGCCTTTCCCCTCCGGGGGCACTGGCCCCGATCCAGCCCCAGGACAGGGCTCAGGGGGGCAGGGAATGGGGCACGGGGCCTTTCCCCTCTGTCTCTAACGAGCGGAGCCCATCCCCCTAGTTCCCAGTGACCGGGCCTCCCGCGGCGCCCGCCTGCCCCCCACTGGACACAGGCTCTTTCCCTGGCTGGGCCAGGCTGAGCGGTGTCGGGGAGTGGGCACTCACCCCCGGCTCCCCACATCTTTGCCCCCCCCCAGCTTCCTGTTCAAGGCGAAGAAGGCCGCGTTCATCACCCCGCCCCCGGCGGTGCCCTCTGTACAGCGCCTGGAGGAAGACGTGGTGCCCGACGACCGTGACGACCCCGAGATCATCATGAACACCACCACGGTACCGGGCCGGGCAGGCTGGGGCAGCGCTAGGGGGCGCTGTGCGGCAGGGAGTGGGGGGCTCAGCAGGGGGTGCTGTGCTGCAGGGAGCGGGGGGCTCAGCAGGGGGTGCTCTCCCCATCTGTGCTGACCCCAGTGCAGTACCAGGGGGTGCTGTGGGGCAGGGAGCAGGGGGCTCAGCAGGGGGCGCTCTGCCCCGTCCGTGCTGACCCTGATGCAATGCTAGGGGGCGCTGTGTTGCAGGGAGCGGGGGGCTCAGCAGGGGGCGCTGTGGGGTAGGGAGTGGGGGGCTCAGCAGGGGGCGCTCTGCCCCATCCGTGCTGACCCCGATGCAACGTTAGGGGCGCTGTGATGCAGGGAGCGGGGGGCTCAGCAGGGGGCGCTGTGGGGTAGGGAGTGGGGGGCACAGCAGGGAGCGCTCTGCCCCGTCCGTGCTGACCCCGATGCAACGCTAGGGGGCGCTGTGTTGCAGGGAGTGGGGGGCTCAGCAGGGGGCACTGTGGGGTAGGGAACGGAGGGCACAGCATGGGGCGCTCTGCCCCGTCCGTGCTGACGCCAATGTGGCGCTGGGGCGGCTGCTGCGAGGGGCGGGCATGGACTCTCCTCTCTCAGGCTGTGGGGTTGGTGCCAGCCGGGCTGACGGCCCCTTCTCCTGGCGCCCCCCCGCCCCCAGTACTACCACTCGGTGCGGATCTTCGCGGGCCAGGAGCCCACCTGCGTCTGGGTGGGCTGGGTCACCCCCGACTACCATCAGCACGACATGACCTTCGACCTGAGCAAGGTGCGCACCGTCACCGTCACCATGGGCGACGACCAGGGCCACATCCACGACAGGTGAGGGGGGCCGGCCGTGGCCAGCGTCCACTGCTCAGCACCGTGGGGCTCGGGGGGGGCAGATTGGGGAGCAGGGGGTGATCCTCAGGGGGCGCTGGGTGGATGCCAAGGAGGAGGTGTGTCACGGGGATGTGGGGCAGAAGGCCCTGGCACGGGAGGCCATGGGGCAGAAGGGCAAGAGGTCACGGGGTGGAGTTCATGGGCCAGGGAGACGAAAGGCCACAGGTGGAAGGGGTAGGAGGCCTTGGGGACGTGGGGGCGTGGAGTAGGTGGCTGTGGGTGTGTGGGGGGGGATGGATCAGTTACCCCTGGGCCCACCCCTCTCCCAACAGCATCAAGCGCAGCAATTGCTACCTGGTGTGGGGTGGGGAGTTCGTGAGCAGCGGGCAGCAGACCCGGGTCAGCACCGTCGACCTGGTGCTCGGCTGCCTGGTCGACCTGGCCACGGGGCTCATGACCTTCACGGCCAACGGCAAGGAGATCAACACCTTCTACCAGGTGAGCTGCCCCCCGGGGCACAGCTGGGGTCCCCCCCGCCCGCCCCCGCAGCCAGCGGGTCCGCGCCCTGGCCCGGCCTGGGAGCTGGTGCCCCTTAGAGGGGACAGGCCCCGCAGACCCGCTGCCTCCGGGCCGTCTCTCACTCCCTGCGTTTGGGCCAGGTGGAGCCGAACACCAAACTCTTCCCGGCCGTCTTCGTCCTTCCCACGAGCCAGAATGTCATCCAGTTTGAGCTGGGCAAGATGAAGGTAGGGGCGGCCCTGGGGTGCCCCCTCCCCACCCTCCCGCACAGCTGGGCTCCCTCCAACATGCCCCGCCCCCGCCCCCATGGCACAGCTGGGCTCCCCCGCCCCATGGCACAGCTGGGGTCCTTCACCCTGCCCCCTGGCACAGCTGGGCAGGTTGTGCCAATGAGTGCCTGGAAGGGATTTGCTTTGAGATTTAAGCGCAATCACTCTGCCTGTTCTGTGTGGGGACTAGTGGGTCGGAAAAAGGGACTGGGTCTCAGACTCCTGGGTTCTATCCTGGCTTTGGGAGGGGAGTAGGGTCTAGTGGCTAGAGCGGGGGCGGGGGGGCTGGGAGCCAGGACTCCAGGGTTCTCTCCCAGCTCAGACACTGATTCTCGGCCTCTCTCTGCCCCTGGCAGAACATCATGCCCCTCTCAGCCGCCATGTTCCACAGCGAGCGGAAGAACCCCGAGCCACAGTGCCCGCCGCGCCTCGTCATCCAGATGCTGACACCGGTGACATGGAGCCGCGTGCCGAACGAGTTCCTGGCCGTGGAGACAGCCCGCATCAGCGACCGGCACGGCTGGATGGTGGAGTGCGGTGACCCCCTGGTCATGATGGCCTTGCACATCCCCGAGGAGAGCCGGTGAGCGCCCCTTTCTGGCACAGGCCCCCGGGGAGAACCCTGTCACCTCCATCACTGTGCTTGTACTAAAGCCCTGGAGCTGAGGGACCGACTCCATGAGCTGGCAGCAGTAGTAGGCTATTAACCTCTTGTCTCACTTCCCAGTGGCCGGTCCACTTCGGGAGCTATCTCGGTGCAAGCTAGGGAATGGCCCAACCCCCCGTCCAGGGACTGTTCTGTCCCCCTGTCACGGAGTATTGGGGGACTCAGGGCCCTGCACCCCCGGCTTCCTGCGGTTCACCATGACTCTCAGCCAGCCAGTAAAGCAGAAGGTTTATTTGGATGACAGGAATACAGTCCAAGACAGGTCTTGCAGGCACAGACA